CTGCCTCCTCTACGCAAGTCATACTGCGGGCACAACCACGATCCCAGCGGAGCGGTGTCGACAGCCGCGAAGGACGCTGTCCCGATACACGCCATCAACGAGAGGATAGACGACATTGGAAGGTGGACAAGAGCGGGTGTGAAGCCTGGAGAAATCTTCAAGCTACTCGAAATGGATCAAGAGGGCAGGGTTTTGTGCAGGGACGGGAAAAAGAAGGTGAGTTTTGTCTTGGTTGCGCTTGCAAAGTGTTCGTATGACATGAAGTCGTGCCAGTAACAGGGAAAACTAGGGCGTCGTATTGCTCTGAGCATGTCCGCCCCATCCTCTCCCCACTCATGAGTAGTCGATGCCTCTTGATTCGGAGGTGGGGTCTCACTTGGTCTGTGCGAATGTTGATCCTGCCGCCACTATGTGTATCGTGTGTGTGTTGGCATTGCTGCCCAACGTTAGGTGTACAATGCCATGGCCGCGATTAAAGACCACCTGTACTCGAGTCCCGAAGACGCGGCGAATTTCCTGGCGACTCTCCAGTCGGAGCCCGGTATGTTCGTCGAACGCGAATTCGACTCAATCGGGAGGCTGGAAAACGTCTTCTGGGCTACCGTGGACCAGCAGAACAAGATCGCGAGATATGGGGCATGCATCCAGATGGATACCACGGTATTCATGAACAGGTACTGGCTCTCAGTGGTTCAGAGGAGGGCATGGGGAGGGCTCTGGAGTGTGGCTCAGGCCCCGACTTGAACTCTCCGCGTCGTAACGCAATGCATTGATTGATGCGTTCGTGCGATGTCGCCATCCGCCCGTGCTTNACCAGCAGAACAAGATCGCGAGATATGGGGCATGCATCCAGATGGATACCACGGTATTCATGAACAGGTACTGGCTCTCAGTGGTTCAGAGGAGGGCATGGGGAGGGCTCTGGAGTGTGGCTCAGGCCCCGACTTGAACTCTCCGCGTCGTAACGCAATGCATTGATTGATGCGTTCGTGCGATGTCGCCATCCGCCCGTGCTTCCTTGCCTTAACCCTATTGACAGATACGGATGCCCTCTTCTTTTCATTGTGGGCGTTGACGACGAAAACCGGAGCTGCATCTTGGCGCAGTGCCTGCTGCGGTCGGAGTGCACTGAGACATTCAAGTGGATCTTGACCAGCTGGGACGGCGCTTCTGGAGACCGGAGGCCGAAGGTAGGAGAGATGAATCCAGCAGTCGATATCTCGGAGGTGGCACGTTCTATCGCACCCGTCACGAGGTCACCCGTCACGAGGTCCCCGAGACCGTCCTCGCGCGCCTTCGAATTTGTGCTGGCACGACACATCGCCCTGCCTCCGCACCCTCGAATGCTGATGTGGATAGGTCTTCCTAACGGATGGGGAGAAGGCGATGACTGCTGCCCTGCGGGGATGGAAGACGACGTTGCACCTGTACTGTCTGTGGCACATCTTCAAGAACGTCCTCAAGAATTGTGCCTCGTCTTTCCCCGACGCTGATGAGCGCAAGGGGATGCTAGGTCTCTTTCGCAGCGCCACCTACGCAACGCCGGAGGTGAGATACCGGCCTAGCGACTTTGTGCGTTGACGTCCTTATGCCGTGGACGTTTTGCAATGCCCCAGTGACGAATGGAGCATGTTTTCGGAAGGCCCCACTCATCCCCGCGCCTCATGACGTTCATGGCGGCTGGATTATTTGCTCTTGCGTGCAGGCCTTCAACAAGCACAGTGCTGACCTGGAAAGGACTATTGCGGGCAAGGAGTGTGCCAAGTACATGCAGGACCTAATCGAGTAAGTACGCCCGCCGTTGCTTCTCACGCCCCGTTTGGCGAATCAACTTCGATGTTAAATTTCTTGGTCGCATGTTCGAAAACTTTCGTCCTCTCGCTGGGCAAAGACTAAGAGCTAAGTCGAACCCTGACCTGTCCTTTCAGTAGAGACAACCGCAGATTCGAAAGCCTAACCCCCACTTGGATGACGCCGCTGCTGTTTACCCTAACCCCCAAGGGACAAGACTAAGTGGGCATTCTCATGTCGGCCGACGGTTATGACCCTCGGCATGGCCGCGACCCAGCGCACAGAGGGCTTATTCGGGATTGCTAAACGAGCTGGAGTAGAGAAAAATCTTTCCCTGTGCGCTCTTTGGGAGAAGCTTCAAAGTGTGAACAAGTCTCTGGAGGTAGAATCTGCCAGGCGAGTATCGCACGACGCACTAGCGCCATGAAGTTTCTACGGGCATCGCTCATAGTCGTGTCGATGGGAACGTACGCAGTTGACCCATGTCGCCATCAGCGAAGGCCATGATGTGTCCACAACAACTTTGCTCCGATGTCGAATGAAGTTAGTCCTGCGCTTCGGCCAACAACATGCTTCATCCACCCCATGCTTCACCTCCCTAACCTCGTCCGTGCAGGTTGGGAACGCGAGCTATTGCAGCAGAGAGGCCATTCCAGGCTGCGCACCTTGATAAGTTTTTCGGGCCCGTCAAAGTGGAGCTCGAGCGCGTTGGCGCTAGCCAGTTCTGCCAACGGGTGAGCAGAATGCCGCGCTTGCCGTAGTGCCTCGCCACTGGTGGACATGCACTCTCTCCGAGAAGCGCTTACAGCGGGCTCAACGATTGGTGATATGCTTCTTTCCCGCTTTCGTAGATGACTATGCGTGCTGAAAAACATTCCGCATCCCGTCCACCCAAACACGTCCTCCACTTTTCGCTTTCCGTAGGATCTTAGAGACGAGCTAGGAGGTTCGCAGTCGTAT